CATTAAATTCTACTATAATTATTCACTTAAAAAAGTTTCATAAAAGTCTTGAAAGGTTCAAATTGAATGCACCTTCCTAAATTTTGTATTAATCAAAAGACGTTTAATCGTTTTTAATTTAAGGATACTTTCACCGTTAATTGGAGATAGTTGAAATCCGACCCGTTTCTACAACACCATTCCATCCATAATTTTTTTACATAACTTGTAATTTACAATAAATCTAAATGTACACACTTGATTTACATTAAATTTCACATCCCCCTCACCTGGGGGTGGGGCCCACAATCGCAGGTCTCACCCCCATGTGAGGGGGATATTAAACTTAATGTGAACCAAGTGTGTACATGTAGCATGATTCTATAATTTAATATCTAAATTAGATATGAATTCGATAGGAGAATATAGATAATAAGATATTCAAATTTGTTTCGTCTATTGACCAAATTTAATTAATCAAAATTCAATTAAATTTTTACATTAGCAAACGAATAATTGAGTAAGTCCAAAGAAGAAGAATTATAAAAGTAAAAGTAGTACAATCACGTGAAATTCATACTTTAATTTATCTTGTATTACATTATCAAATACATGCCTATACAAGAGGACAACTATCATCAATTACACTAATAAATAGGCAAGAGTTGAAATTAAAATATTGCAGTCCCACGGCTTTTAGACCAAGCAATCTTAATTATGAACCACGTAGTCCACACTTGTCCAATGATACTCATTTAGAGGTGTAAAGAATCGACCCACCCAAATTTGATGTTGACCAACTCAGCTCTTGGTTTCACTAAGCCCTTGTTTGATTGGCTTTTCCCATTCATACAGAAGAAGAAGCAACAGAAATTGGTCAGAATAGACTAAAACAGTGGCCCCAAGTGCATTTAAATATTGCAAAAAATGGCGGGCCCGCCTGCTTGTGTGTGATTTGGTCTGTTTATGTGGTGTACAACCCAGCAGAATTCTGTTTGATTTTGTTAAAAATCAAATTTTAGACCTTGTTTGGTATAAACTAAAATCAGATTTTTCATAAATTTTGATAAAAGTTGATGAAATATATGGTTGAAAAGTTGCGGACTCCACGAAATGTTTGGTTAAAATTAAATATTGATTTTAACTTGAGATTAAAATCAGATTTTAATCAAAATCAAACATGGACTAGGATTTAGATAAAAGTTGATGAAATGTGTGATTGAAAAGTTGATAAAAATTGTGAAAGCCATAAAATATGTATTAAAAAAAAGGATTTGGAGAAAAATGAGTTCTAAAAATATTTTTATTTTGTTTGATAAAAAAAAACATAAATTTGAAATTCACTTTAAATAGGACGAGTAACATGATAGGGACTATGTTTCTCGTACACCCTTTGGGACAATGACCCCCGTTCCCCACCCCTACACGATTAAAGCGGGATGGTACAAGTTTAGGACAAGATTGCAGGGCATGGCTCTAACCCCATTTATCGTGCTCGTTTATTATTATTATTATTATTATTATTATTATTATTATTATTATTATTATTATTATGTCTTTACTTAGTAAATATTTTGTTTTTTACCAATTTGTTAAGAGCAACTCATGTTCTCTTTACAAATGACGATAATTTTTCTTTTTTCTTTTTATTTTTATTTTATTAATAACTTAAATTTGAAATTCACTTTAAACAAGACGAGCATGGGGTGGAGACTATGTTTCTCATACCCGTTTTGGGGCAAAGATCCCCCATTCCCCTCCCTCGGTCCCCTTCTCGTTTACCTAGTTAGGCGGGTAATTCCTGTAACATTTCGAACCGGACTCATGGGTATCGGGTTGAAGGGATTTTTTGTCATCCTTAACAGTGGTTTGAGGATTCAATTTTGCCAAAAGAGAGGAGAAATTCCAAACATTCAATTTTGGCTGGTTTGAGCACAGAAATAGATCAAATGAAATGAAATGAAGATGAGAGATTTTAGGGATTATAGAATCTAATTTTGGAATAAGGTTTATGAATTTCATAGAGTTTTAGTAGATATATCTTGAGTTTGAAATTAAAGGTCATAATTATTTGTTAAAAGGACTTTTTAAATATAAGAATTTCAACTATTCTTCTCAATAAGAATGTCCTGTTAAGTTCAAATTTTAAATCTTAGGGTTTCTAGCCTGGGGACAAATCCTGCACAAAAAATAATAATATAATTTTTTTTATAAAGCAAAAAACTAAATTGGTTGGAGATCAGCCCGGTCGCCAAATTCGTCACCGATCTAATCCATTAAAGTCGAGTGAGTAATTCGGCCAATCTAAGGCTTAATCGAGCATTCAAGTTCTCTCTAAACTTGGCGTGTTCAAACGAGCCAACATCTTGCAAGGCATGATGAAGTAAAATTTCACATTGTTGAAGTATAAAAATGCATAAATAATAATCAACATATAAGAATTCATTTTAACAATGTTTTTAATCAGAACCAAATGTACTTGTTGTCAATTATATAACTAGGGACAGAGCCAGCACTAGTCGAGCCCCTATTGCTGCTCTTGTTGGCTTTGCTGAATTTTTTTCCTTATATTGGGTAGTCCCGTGCTTACCTGGATTCATCCGTGCTCAAATGAATTTCTGGATCCACCACAATACTTAATCTCATTGGCTTCTTGCTATGACTGTTTCTAGTAAGAGATTCAATACTGTAATTTTAATTATTTGGAGGTCATTAATTTTTAAATATTTGAAAGTAATGAGTTTCTTTAGTTACTTTTGGACTAATTTTTTGGATAATTCAACTCTGCAATTTTTTTTTAGATAATTTCGTCCGTAGTTAGGCTAACTGTTTGAAAAAAAGAATGCTACAACTAACATATGGAAAATTTTAGTGCTATTTATGTTAATTTTTTTAGTTTCAAACAGACTGAAAATCGATCCATGAACTCAGGAAACCTTCATGACTCATGGCCTAAAGTTTAAGGGGATCGATGTATTCAATCTAAACTTGCGATTCGCTTTCTTTCCATAGGAAATTTGCTTGCTCTCCCAATACGAACAAGCCAAAAAGGCTAAAGAATCGATGAGTTTTATAATTTAAAAAATTTGGATATATTTAATCTAGAATTTTTAAGACTTTATAAAAGTCTTGGGATATTAAATTATGACTTTAAAAGTCACGGGTATTCAAAATGTCAAGCGAATTCTATAAAGTCTATAATATAAAATTCCTTAAATGAAAATCTATGAAAGACAAAAAAATTCACTAAACTCTACTATAGTTATTCACTTAAAAAAGTTCGCAAAAGTCTTGAAAGGTTCAAATTGAATACACCTTCCAAAATTTTGTATTAATCAAAGGACGTTTTATCATTTTTAATTTAAAGATACTTTCACCTTTAGTTGGTGATAGTTCAATTCTCACCCGTTTCTACAATGCCATTCCATCCATCAAATTCTTTACACGACTAGTGATATAATTTAAATATCTAAATTAGATATGAATTTGATTGGAAATCATAAAAGAATATAGATAATAAGATATTCAAGTTTGGTTCGTCTTTTGACCAAATTTAATTAATCAAAATTCAATTAAATTTTTACATTACCAAACGAATAATTGAGTAAGTCCAAAGAAGAAGAAGAATCATAAAAGAAAATGTAGTACAATTATTTGAAATTTATACTTTAGTTTATTTTGTATTATTACATTATAAAATACATGAAGACACGCACATAGAGACACGAATTGGGAATAAGCTATCCAAGTGGACAACTATCATCCCTTAAACTAATTAATAGGCTAGAGTTGAAATTATAATATTGCAGCCCCACGGCTTCTAGACTTTTATGCTAAACAAAATAAGATGTGCATACACTTGTCCAATGATACTCATATTTAGATGTGTAAAGGTGAATCGAGCCATCCAAATTTGATGTTGACCAACTCAGTTCTTGATTTCACTATGTTCGATTTTGTTAAAAAAAATCAAATTTTAGACATTGTTTGGTATAGATTAAAATCAATTTTTTAGTAGATTTTGATAAAAGCCGATACAATGTATAATTGAAAAGTTGTGGATTTCATGAAATGTGTGGTTAAAATGAATTGTTGACTTTGACTTGAGATTAAAATCAGAATTTAATCAAAATCAAATGGGTGCTAAAATTTAGATAAAAGTTGATGAAATGTATGATTGAAAAGTTGATAAAAGTTCTGAATCCCATAAAATATGTAGTTAAAAAAGGATTTGGAGAAAAATGAGTTCTAAATTGGCGAGTTAGGTTGCGCCGGAATTGACTTTGTAGGCCCATTTTTTAGACTCTCGGTCCGCCAAAAATTGCAAAATTACAGGCATATGCTAGACCCTCTTTCATCACAACTGTCTAAGAGTTTAAATAAATAAAATAAGGGTACCTCCAACTAACGTGGTCCAATTTCATTAATCTAATTCATCTGTAGATATCAACATCACACTGTCTTAAATCCATTTTCTTATTCATATAAAACTAAATATGTCAACCTAATATTCTCCCATTGTCCTTGTTAATATGTATCTTTGCTTGTTTATTTCATAATTAGGACTAGTTGGTATGGTGCTCTAGATTATATTACCAGTTAAATTCCTATGTCGAAGATAAGAAGATAAATATTCCTCTGCGCTCTATATAAGTTTAATTTTAGACGAGATGATTCAACGCATTATAAGAGGTAACAGAAGTCTCCATATGTGTATGGTGATCATGAAAGATATATCTAACTTACACGTATTTTAGACGAAGCAATAACAAAAGACGTGGATTTGGCCTTTTGAGAAAGAAAAACTAGCAGCCAGCATTTTCTGGACACTAACCAACAAAACTTATGTCGAATAATCACCGCCCACTGAAACAAGACTGTTTACTTGTCATACTGTATTAATATTTGCAATTTGAATATTTTAAAGACTACAGTCTTTTCTCCAACTAATAGGGTTCCTTTACATATGTACTCTATTCTTGTTTTGGGTACAATCAAGTTAATTCTTCTTGCTTCGCACTATGAGTACTAAGGTATGATGATGGACAACAACAACCCACGAATTAACCTAAACTTTTTGTTTTCCTAATATTTTGTTATTCTTCTTGCCAATATGTGACAGAAAATTGAGCTCAAGGTCACCATTAACTGCTTGAAATGCAAGACTGAAATTCTGAAAGCCGTCGCCAAACTTACAGGTACGTCTTCCATCTTGTTGGAATCTAGTTATATATAATGTACATTTATCTTGTCAACTGTGAATCAAAATAAGATCTTGCTAATATAACATATGACGTGTGAGATCTTTTTCTTCTGAATAGTGGCAATCTACAGCGTTCGAAATAGGGTTTAACTTGTAAGAGATCTTGCTAATGAGGTCAACTGATCACGATCTTATAATAAAATTAAAAAAATGTGCTAAATTCGGTCGATCACTTGACAAGTTGGGACACAAAACTCCCAAATAGCAAGTTACTAGGATAAACACGTATGACATAACACATACATTAAATGCGCGATTAGAATATACACACGCTATACAGTCGATTTTACAGAACAAGCCATAAGTTCTGATCAATACTGGGATTTTTCTTATGATTGAGCAGCTGTTGATTCGGTAACAGTGGATGTTGAGAAGGGCACATTAACTGTTGTGGGGGGTGTTGATCCTGTGTGTATCGTCACATCCATCAGAAAGACTGGAAAATGTGCTGAAATTACAAGTGTTGGGCCACCAAAGAAACCTGAACCTAAAAAAGAATCTCCTAAAAAACCTTGCAAACTACCTGCATGTTGTAAGCAATGCCAACTTGTTGCTGTTCGCTACGATACCTATTATGGTGGACCTTGTTCAATTCTATAAATACGTACTAAAGTCTTGCTTCTTTCTTCAACTTTTGATTGTTTGTAAGTGAATATTTAATGATTTTTCATCGATTATCAGGAGTTCGTGCACGTTTTAAGTCATATAGCTTAATTTCCTGTTCCCAGTATTTTTATCATTTGCATATCTGTAATTTTGGAATTTACGCCGTGTGACTTCGTTGAAGCGTTCGCTAAAATGGATTCGGTCGAGCTGTTGGTTAGCATGTGACGGAACAAACTTATTTATTTAAAGGGATTTTCAATATTGATAATTTCACTTTTCAAGAGCAATTTTTTTCTGGCTAAAATTCATTGTTTGGTTGTTTTTCCGAAAAAGGATCGCCGGGAGATTCTTTAAGATAAAAACTTTCATAGTTTATTAGAATCCCACATTATTTGGAAAAATATAAATAATCCACTTAATAAGGTAAGGGCAATCCTCCTCTAATAAGCTGGTTTTATTAGGTAGAGTTAGGCCCAATATTCTTTCTAACATGGTATCAGAGATACTCAATTATGCAATATTGGGTGCCATCCAATATCACTTTATTCACAGTTGTTTAGCATGGTCCACGCTGTGCGTGAGGGGGCGTATTAGAATCCCACATTACTTGGAAAAANAAATATAAATTATCCACTTAATAAGGTGAGGGCAATCCTCCCCTAATAACCTGGTTTTATTAGGTGGAGTTAGGCTCAATATCCTTTCTAACATAGTTAAAACTGAAAAGGCTTGGGATTCCTTTCTTGAAAAAATTCTACAGTTGAATGGAGAAAAAGTTGAAGTTTTCATACGATTCGATGAAGTTCTTCATGAAGCAATCTACAATAAACCGCATGGCCCTTTTTTCCTCAAGAAAATCTGCAAAACATCTCATTTAGAAGTTCTGTCAAAGAGATGTGAAATTTAATCCTTTAAATTTTGTCTGAAGTGCGGTTGAACGTGGTATGGTATGAGAGCAAATTAAGATTTTGAGTCCAAATTTCAATGATATCCACTTACGAATCTAGCTCGTTTTGTACTGCTTAAACTTTAAATGGCATTTGAGAATTCACCAACTTTCTTGCCAATTTTTTCACATCTACTTCATAACTTTTTCTTTCTTTTAGTCATATGAGGCCCGTGAGGCCCGACCTCTTATGTCATATCAAAATTATTAAGTCCAAAATCAGATTTGTAGTAGATTTTGATAGAATTTGATGAAATGTGTGTTGAAAAGTTGTGGAACTCTAAAAATATGTGGTTAAAATTAATTGTTGAATTTTACTTAAATTAATATGGGGTTAGAGTCAGCGGGGGAGGGACCCTTCAACTGTTTTTTTGCTCTCCCTACATGTAAATCGTGGCTCGGCCAATGATTGGAGTTCGCACCGTTCAAATGCTGTTCATAAACATGCTTATATGCTCTCAACAGATCATTGCAAGATTGGAAATATTTTGGTGCTTGTTTTTGCACTGTGCCTTTTGTTTACTTGACAGCCATTGCTCCATCTGGGTATTTGAGTTTGAGTACTCTGCATTCTGTTATATACTTCTTTTAAAATTTGAGTGTGATCCAAATTCCTTGTTTGAAGTATTGAAGAATTTTAATTGAAGTGCTTGTCAGAAATAATTCAGTTTGGAATACTATTGAAGTCCTATGTTAAATTGAAATTCTATTTTGGAAGCCCATTTGGAGTTGAAAATTGTTATTAGACTTGAAAAAGAGTTTTGGATGGAAAATATAATTTGGGAACAAAAAAAAAAAAAAAAAATCGGATAGAACGCCCGGTGTCGTTGCGCCGAGCATGGGCGCCCGGAGGTGGCGCGCGGCGCCCACCTAACCTGTTTCGAGTTTTCTACGTTTTTCTCTCCTTTTTCATTTTGAACTCGATTTTTTGGCATCCTACTTCATCGACAACTCTACTATGAGGGTTTGGACGTCCCCTACATATTCCCTATAAATATTAGGCTCTTCTATATAATTTTATAGTGTGAGAAAATAGAATACTACAATTAAATCTCGATAAAGTAATGTTCAATAAAGTAATAACCTCGATTATATAATAATTTCTTTCGATCCCGACTTGGGCCATTGGACTAAAGTAATAACCTCTCTAAATGCATTAAGTAATAAAAAAAATTGAATCCTTAAAGGCCCAATAAAAATATAAAGTAATAATTACTGAATTTCATTGAGGAAAAAATAAATAAATAAATAAATAAATAAATAAATAAAAAATA